AAAAATAGACATATAGATTGAAAACAATATTATCACTATTTTGCAGGTAACAATTATAACTGTAGCAAAACACTTTAAAATTCTACAAATTTTTAAAAAGTAAATTTAGCAATGTTACAGAACACAAGGCGAATATTACAAATTGTTCTTCAGTACAGTAAAAACACATGACTAGAAAGTGAGATGAAAATAACTCTTATAATAGGTTTAAAAAATTAGATACCTAGGAATAAATCCAATAAAAAATGTGCAAGACCTCGCAACACAGAAAACTACAGAATAGTCAGAAATTAAAGACAACCTGGTACATTGAACAATTTTATATACATATATAATTTATGGAATAAAAGACTCAGGAAGTGGTGGTGCCCCTAAATTCTTTTTCATGGGAAAGTGAAGACCTATGTCCCTTTCCTTGAAATCAAGAGGACCAGTGACTGCCTCAACCAATAAATGACACCGAAGTAACACTACGTTACCTCAAAGGCGAGATCACAAAAGGTCATGCAGCTTCCTTCTTATTCTCTCGGAACACTTGCTCTCCAGCTGCTCCCTCCTGGAGCTGCCGTGTTGTGAGAAGCTCAAGCCACACAGAAAGGCCTTTATTAAGTGCTCTCAACAGTGATAAAACTTAGATAATACTTGTCTAGTTACCAACATTTGAGTGAAGCAGCCTCCAAATGGTTTCAGCTGCCAGCCATTTAAGTCACCCCCAGCAGAGGCCCTAAGTTTCAAGGAATAGACAAGCCATCCTTACGGTGCCCTATCCCAATTCCTGAACCAACGGAATCTATGAACACAATAAAATGGTTGTTCTTTTACACCACTTAGTTTAAGGCGGTTTGTCATTCAGCAATATATAATCAGAACAAAAGATGTCAACTGTGCCAAAATTGCTCTACAGATTTAATACAAACCAAATTAAAATCTCGGCAGGAGAAATGGAAAAGCTGATCCTAAAATACATTTGGAATCCCGAGAGATGTGAAGAGTCAAAACAATATTGTAAAAGAACAAAGGTAGAAGACGCACACTTTTTGACCTCAAAAGTTACTACAAAGCTATGGTAATCAATATCCTTTGGTACTGGCATAAGATGTAGAGATCAACAGAAGAGAACTGAGAGTCCAGAAATAAGCCTCTATCCTTAGCCGATTTCTAAAGGGGTACCAAGACCATTCAAGGGGAAAGATGAGTCTTTTCACCAAATGGCACAGACCTGACCTTTAGGAGGGGCTTGCTTACCAGGCTGGCCCTCACCTCAGCTGGCATCTGGGAAGTTGGCTTTTGTAACCTTCCCTATGTGATACTGTTGTGTCTATTGTGCTGACTAGACATTTTAAATAATGTGATTTATGAAGAACATAAATCCTGCTTTTCTTCTGGAAGATTAGAATTTTGAAGGGCAAAGGGCAAAAAACCCTGGACTTGACATTCAAACAGAATTTCCTGGACAGAAACACGGAGCCCGTGTTACTGCATTTCACAGAGGCACTCTGCGTGGCCTCTTCAGAGAACATAGGAAGCCGGCACGTGGACTACTCCAGACTCTGCCTCCTCCCTATTCCTGTTACTGAGCCATCCAGCTGTGTACCTTTGCTGTGTCACTATAATAAATCTTAACTGTGAGTACGACCATATGCTTATTTAGTCTTGTGAATTCTTCTATCGACACACTGAATGCGTGGGTGGTCGTGGAACTGCCAAAACAAGTCAGTGTATCAGAAGTGCTAACACAAGTGGTGCAATCCGTTCCCTACTATATATATGAAGAGTTAGCAATAAAATATTTCATATACAATTCACATTGATCTTTTGCCCTAGAGATCTTAACACAATCAAGTAAGTTATATGGGGAAAGCAGAGCTCAGAGCTTGTGCCAGTAGAATAAAAATAACTTCCTCCTGAGGTAAGAAGAGCATATCCCTCCCTCTAGAACAGTAGAACCTAAGAGAGTATTAAAATAAATTTTTAAAGAAATGTATCTAAATGTATTTTACTATACAAAAATATCCCCCCAATGCTAGTACTTTGGTGTGAATAGTCCCTCTTCCTATTAGTTCAGTTCATTTATAACTTAAAACCACATCCTTAGTATAACAGGACAATGGCAGCAGAAATTTCAAGGTGACATAATACAAATAACTGACATAACGCTATTAGGTTGTCACTATTAGGACAACCTAAAAAACATCAAAAAATATCAGCTGTCCACAAATGTTCAGCTACCACCACTACCAAGAAAACTCCTGGTGAAAGTGCGTCAATTACACAGTTTAAAAGGAGTTTGCAGCTATCACTCTATACCAAAAAAAAAAGTAGAAATAATGATGCACAGGACTTTTTACAAATGAAATTAGATGAATCTCTACCTGCTGCCTTAAATTTGTACCATACAACTGTCAATAGTAAAAGAGAAGCACTGTAAAAAATGAGAGCTTCCATAAATAACCTGCATTACATTTTAGGGATTCTAAATTGCAATTAAACTTCTGCTTTAAAGAAAAATATTTTGAAAGTTCTAGTTTAGAGTTAATAGAGTAAAAGAAATGAACTCTAGAAATTCAGAATTGTTATTGTTTTAATAATAACCACTTAAAAGTTGTAAAAAAAAGCTTTTTTAAAAAGCAGTACTCTGCTATATCTTAACAGACCAAAGTCAACAATTTGAGTACACTGAAGCTCTGTTTATATGGCCATGGCTAACACATTCATCACATTTTCCATGGCTGGTCCTAATGAGTAACAGGACTGATGATTCTACTGCAGAACTCAAATTTTAAATAATTCACTGGACTGGATTTTGAATCCATTTCAAGTTGACTACTAATAAATAAACATGATATAAATAGGTCCATGACCAAGAATTTCTTTTAATCCAAGAGAAAAATGAATTTGCCCAATGCTTCTATTTTTAAATGGTATCAGATAAGTACTAGATGTATTTGGGTGATCACTTTGTAAGTTAAATAAATGTCTAATCACTGGGTTATACACCTAGAACTAATATAATATTGTACGTCCACTGTAATTGAAAAAGAAAAAATTATTTTAAAAAATAAATAAAAATACAGAACTGTGAGAGGGGAGGATCCTGTGACACTGCAATGACTGAATCATGTACAAAGACAAACAGATCACTGAAATAAAATAAGAGCAATGAAAAACGATATGTGGTATTGTTTCCATCACTGAGCTTTATAAAAAGTCCCTCTTTTAAATATTAAGTCTTAGGGTTGCTCTTGTGTGCTGTGTTTGTGTGTTTCTCACTTAATACCTTTTGATCCTTTGAAATTTGTAAGTAGTTGATTTACAAAGAAAATTTTTAATTTTCCCTAACAAAGTTCATGGAAGGGTGGGCAGGTGGGGAGGGGGATAACTTAAAGCAAAAATTAATAACATATGGTTTACATAGACATGTAAAACCTGTATTTGAGGAATCATACACTTTTGAGATAGTGGGGGGATGAAGGTGAGGTTGCCCTTACAACCTGTACTACTGACTGATTGTATGTGGCAATTACAATTTGAATATAGTTTTCAACTATATCTCAAAGGATCCAGGACTCCAAATAGGATCCTAAATCTCCAAGACGACCCATTTCCCTCATTCCAAGGAGGTCCTTACGTTAATGGTTAATCTATGGAGGAAGGCCCCTGGCTTGGGATTTACAGTTATAAAAGTTAACTGACGTACTCTTTGTTAGAATCAAGCAAAAACAACATACCCAAATGGCGATTTGACTGACCATTATGCCACCGACGAACTCTGAAGATTTTAGTTAAGAACTTGTGCTCACTCCTCAGGAGTCTGGCTGTGCAATTCAGATGTAAGCAAAGGCAAACAAGAGTTAGGCAAGTTTCAAAAACTTTAATAAAGAAAAAAAAAGACACTTCCAAAAATAAATGCCACACAAATGAAAGTTTATAAAAAAGTGAAAGATATTCATGAACCAAAACCCTTCACTATCAAAATATACTAAATACTAAAATCTAATGATGCTGAGTGTTCAAATTCTGGGGGAGCGTAGCATATAATAATATAGCTAGTCAAGTAGTGTTTTTCATGATATGGCTGCTTCAAGACATCACTTAATATAATTACTTTTTAAACCTATATTTTCTTAAACATCCAGTTCACAATTCATTTAAATATTTTACATTCATTTATAAAAACACATTTGCTAACAACGGGTTATTCTGTGTTTTAATAATAATGAACCATGGTAAAATACTTCAGTGATTTAAATGCTTTGCTAATGAATTACTACACCCATCACAGATTCTTACACACTTATACAGCTACTGCAATACTCAGAAGAGCTACAACTCTTCTTAAAAGTGACACTCACTCAAGTTTGGTAAGCATGCTAATAATTAGAGATATATTTTTCCCAAGTTAAAATATTAGAACTTTCAAGCTTTCTTTAAAATCTGCAAAGATAACCTGCTTATTTAACTACTTTTAACTGGCAGTTTATAAAAACAGAGGAAGCATCATTTTAGAATTTTCTCTATAATTTCTATAGTAAAAAAATGGATGTTCTTTTTCAAACCGGGTGGCACTAAAATTTTATTTTAGAAATTCTAAATTTTAAAATGTGAAGAAATTCAATGTCCGGTACATCTAGAGTGTTTTTTTAATGAATCTAATTTTTCTTCAGGTCTATACTTTTTTCAGTGTGGGTGACACTACCTTATACACATACATCTTAGTACTTCAGTAAATAATCCATTTTAGATATGATCCAAGACACACCCTAACTTATTCTAAATTCTCTTCTGTAACAAGGGACCAATCTATACCATTCTTTAGACTGACAATTTAGTAAACAGATAAAAACCTTAAGCAATAAAATTTATATAACTAATGGTGGTTAATTAGCCAAATCAACAGGCCTTAGTCTCACAATTTGTAATTAATTTTCATGCAAAATTTTACATAGTTTTGATCCTTACTTATAAAGTATTATTTTATCTTTTTAAGTAATCAAGACAAATAGTAGAAAAAGCATTTTATTTATATGGAAAAAGCTACATTAAGATCTGTAAAAGGTGTCATTATAATATTGACTATACAGAAAAAAATTCAAACGTGAATAGCAACAAATAAAAGTTACACATCTTCCTACTTAGCAGTGCAATTAATTCACATTGCAATAAAGTTAAGTCAAGTATAACAAAATCAAAACAAGTGTTTCTCCATAATCAGTATACTGAGAATTACAGTGTAAAGATCATTCAGGTTTAAGAAATCTGCACTCAATCTACAGAATACCCTAAGACAAGGGAGACAGACAGTTAATTCATTTAATTATCAACCGTTCGGTTTTTTTCAATACTGTTCACAGGGAAAAAGTAATGAGTTGACATACACGTAAATAGAATATATTTAGTCTATACAGTAAAAAAATACAAATTATAAAGTGAGCTAACAAAGAATGAAATCTGAATACAGATTTATAAAACTGACAACATAGACGACACATACAGTATTTCTCATGTAAAAACATCTAGTTTCAGCAAAAAATAATTTGGTTGCTTTTCAGATGCATTGTAGATCTTGTAAGCTGAAGATGCAGATGTCCAAGTATCTTAAAAACCATGATAAATGTCTTTCTCAATGCATACAAAATGATAAATGCTCTCATCACAGTCTTAAGGGTATTTTTGGAAGTTTTTTTTGTCTTGCTTCAGAAATACATTTAAAATGGATAAAAATCAAAAGATTTCATGGTACAATGAAACAGTAAACAGTGCTCAATTTACTGCTAATATTGAAAAAAACCTAGATTTTACAGTACTCTGGTATATATGAAAAATTTTTTGATTTTACATTGCATATTTCTGAGTCCATTCTCTTGCGTGTCTGTTGTATCTGTAGGCATACAAAAGGGAGATAGTAAAAACATACAAATTGAATCTTTTAGAAGATCTATCTATATAAAGTAGTATATTCTACCTTCCTATGCTTCCTTGCAATAGCCACACATATACCAATTATTGGGTGAATGTGACTTAGCCTTATGCATAAATAAAACAGAAAACAAATTATTTTTTAACAGATGGATTTCTCTACAACCTATATGAAAACATACCTAAACTATAAACAACAAAATTAAAAAAAGACACAATTTATAATAAAAATCTATAGAAGGCAATGAGCAATCTGGAAATTGCAAATGAATTGATGGTACCAGCAAGGTGAAGCAGTTTGAAAACTAGATCAGTTTGGGGGGTTAGCGAGATCTTCTCTTCCTGGGAGAAGATAAAGAATATAATGTCCAATACTTCCCAATTATCAAATTCTTTCATTTTAAATTTATTCCCTAGAATTATATATAGTTCTTTCCTACCAAAAACAAGACATACTTTCTGCATCTGCTATTAAAAAGTAAAGGTTGCCCAGCCGGGCGTGGCTCAGCAGTTGAGCGTCGACCTGGGGATCCAGGCGATCGGGGTTCAATTCCCGGTCAGGGCACATGCCCGGGTTGCGGGCTCGATCAATGACTCTCTCATCATTGATGTTTCTATCTCTCTCTCCCTCTCCTTTCCTCTCTCTGAAATCAATAAAGATATATTTTTTAAAAAAAAAAAAAAGTAAAGGTTTACACAGTATATGAAAAGGAACAAGATTTTTTGTATAAAAAGACTAACAGAGTTTAAAAAGAAAGGTTTACTCCACTGGAAAGAAAAACAAACTTAACGTAAGTATAATAAGCATAACTAAATGTACTTATTAAATATATTGGTAATACTTATGTTTTGGTAGACCACAAAGAAATGTACCCAAACAGAAATAAATATAAGTAAACACTTACTTTTCTTTGTCTGATTTATAGATTTGTGCAATATCTGGTACTAAGGGGTCATCTGGATTAGGATCACAAAGTAGAGAACATATGGACAATAAAACTAGATTGAAAAGAGAACCTCATATTAGATAATGATCTTTCTTCTTTATATAATTACATATGTGAAAATAACTTCATTGAATATAGACAATGAACTCATAGGGAAAACAAAACACATTAAATTACATTTTAGACTATAGCTGGCAGTATTTTTAATTTTTAAAATTATAAAATTACCATACAATATATGTAATACAAATTATTATACCTTTAAAGTTTTAAATTCTATTTAATTTCTATTTATTTAAAAAATATGAACCTCTAAAGTAGCTATTATTACCTTTAAACTTAAGAGTTATTTACAAAAATATTTTTGGTAACACACACATACCCCAAATGGTACATAATCAAAAACTGTTTAGAATAGCAACCTAACTTTAGATATCTCTTAGATATATTTGTATCCTTTAATGAGAAAACCATCCATTTTTTATTCTATTTTAATGCAGAAAGTCTGTGTTCTAATTAATTCAAGGTAAAGCAATCAAATTATAGTTAACAGTGCAAACCACTTGGACATTGTGCTCATGTACTTTTTTACTTTGGCTTAGTGTTATAGATTGTCCACAAAGAAGGAAGATTCGTAAGATTTTTTCCAATGACTCTTTTATTCCATGTGCATTATTTGTATCACATGTATGTAAAAGTAATATGAATAGTTACTACATAACTTGTAGATTTTAAAATATAGATGGAAATTTAAAAATTGTTTCTTGCCACAATTTTTATATGTATATTTAGTATTTTTATAAATACTAATCCAAATAGGTACACACACAAAAAATCTAAGTATCTGAAAAAGGAAGCAACGAGGACTCTGGTTCCTCATGTGTGGGCTTCATCGGCATACCACCGCCTCTGAGGGGCCGTGGAGTCCTTGGAACAGCCTTCCACTTCTAGTCTCCTCTGTATGTTCCTTTATCTTTTCCTATTCTCCCAAATCCATAAAGCAAAGTTGATTCTTAAATGATGTGAAAAGGAGATGCTGCCAAGGGCACTGACACTAAACTAGTATTTAATTCATCTTCCTTATCTTCTACTGTATATTAAACCATGATTATGTGGGCTAATGTCTCCAGAAAGTTTCCAGATAAAAATCAAAATAAGACACTGAAATGTCTGTACTTGGGGCAGCAGGTATAAACTACCTTACAAAACAAGCAAGAGGCAAGTTCCTCACCTCCCCAGGCCTGCTGCCCAGAGCCATGAGCCCCGATTTCACTATTATGCACAAAAATCAAATGTTTTAAGATAAGATAAAAGGAATGCTGACATTCACTTGTGTGCTTACTATGTGCCAAGTACACAGTGACCCTATGTGGTAATACTATTATAATCCCCATTTTACATATGAGAAAACTGAGGCTATTTGAAACTGTTCTTTTAAAGGACAGTTACCAGAAGGCAGAATACTAGTTATTCTTTATAAAAAGCTACCAATGTGAGAGGATAAGTGCTCAACATCTGGCAGTCTGGCATTTCTTTTATATGTGTAGGTATTTAGCTGCTTATGCCAAATGAATTATATTTTGTGATACCATTCCAGGAAAGAATACGTGAATTTGAATAACCCTTTGACAAAGAATCTTTGCTACATCTAGTGCCTAACAGTTACACTATATAAAAGATTTTTTAAAAGACACTGGAATCTACATGAATGTTTAACACAAACATTTTAGGTCACAAAAACTGCCGTCCACAAATAACTGACCTAAAGGGCTATTACTCACCTAGAACTTAAAATAATTATGGCTATAGACTTTGTTTCCTATAAACCTCATCACTTTTAAAAACAGGTTATATATTCAAGTAGCATTTATTTTTTAAAAATTTTTTCAATGACCATGGATCCCTCTCTGAATCCTTCAAGAGAATCAATTTTCTTAAATTTTATAAAAAGGTAAAACTACCAAGTTTACTTCAGGGGCAGATACTTCTAACTCAAAACAATATTTTCCAACAGTCAGGTTCTCTTCTGTTTAGAGAAACAAGACATGAATTAAGAGGGTTGACACAGCAAACAGGATTCATTAAAGAAACAAAAATGGCTTCAGATGTACAAATCTGAGAATTTAGCAAAGAACAATGTTACAGATCCTTGAAAGTTAAGAATCCATGTGGAGTATGTATCAGTCATTATGACAATGCTATTGATTATTCAAAGTTTAGAGCAGCAATTTTCAACAGGTATGCAGCAAGAATTTTCAAAACATGCAGTACCTGACTATTTAGTCGGGGGCAATGGCCTCTCCCCTCTTAGATTGTCAAATAAAAAAATGACAACAGCCAATACAACAGCCACCTGGTATGAATGAATCGAAATTATACCTATTTTTGTCAGATTGGCAAAAAATATGTTTTTTTGGTGTGCTGCAGAATCTTAGTTAGTTTATATGTGCCATGAGATGAAAGAGGTTGTATGCTGCTGGTTTGGAGCACTATATTACATGTACTACATTAGTCTATGGTGTCAAATATGTCTTTCATTTTAAATAATTTATTTTATCAGCCTAATCTGATATTTCTTCTTATATGAAGTAAAACAGATATAAAGCTTTGATCATTAGGTCAAAAATCTCATTTCATAAATGAGACACCTGGCCCTAAAATCATATATTTACTTCTGCTCTCTCTCTTTTTAAAGATAAAGCCACGCCTAAAGGGTAAACTGCCAAGAGGCTTATCCCCAACTTTCTAGGTCTAAGATTTTAAATTTCTCTTATTTCATCACTTAGATATGCCTACCAACACCACCCCCACCAAGGTTATTAACTGTTAAAAGCTAAAGAGAATACATATTAAGAACTATGAAAGCAAAGCAAAATCAAAGCAGGAGAAAACACAGACTGTTTTTTTTTAAACTTTGGTCCTTAGATTTTTCTATATTTTTCCAGTCTCATTATCATCAACTGTTATATATCCGATAAGTGAAATTACCTTTTGATACAGTCAGAGCTGGTGACCATTGTGACCTCAGGATATCAAGACAAATACTTCCATTACTGTTTATATTTGGATGGTAAATTTTTGTTGTGAAAGCGATCTAAACATAAAACAAAACAAAATAAAAATGTGACAATCCATGAACAGTGAACAAAGAACAGAACTGATTTGCTCTAGGGTAAAATGTCTTCAATTTTAAGTGACCCCAGCAGAGAAATGTATTCAACACAAATTGAATGAACATCTACTTTGTACGTGCATAGTTTTAGCTACTGGGAATGTGAAAGCAGATAAAGTCAGTTTCCCCGCCCCCCTACTCCCCACCTCCAGCAAGAAACTGAGAAATATTTTGGAGAGTACAGTAAATAGGTCTATAATAGCTGATATGACTCGCTGAGTAGTACCTGAAGTAATTAACCATGGCCTTGATGATCCCTCAAAGTAATCCTTTTTTTAATTTGATTATCAGTGATACCTGGAAGTGACACTAAAAATAGGGTGCTAAACAGGATCTAAAAATAGGGTGCTAATCCTGTTCTGGGGGAAAGTTGAGGGGCCTCAGTTTGTGACCTCTCCTGAGAAATCCACCAAGAATCCTAAACTCCCACAAGAGTTTCTGCTTTATTGTTTCAGATATATAATGTTATTTGGGTATTTTAAAAAATCTAATTTGTTTCCTGAGCCCACACAGCTCAGCTGGCTCACTTCCTCTGCCTCTGAAACTTTCTGAATAAATTCTCTCTTATAATTTGAAAAAAATTAAATAAATAAAATACGTATTTCCTGAATGATAGAATTTGTTAATGATTTTGTCCCTCCTGATATCCCTATCATTTGTTTCCTCTTTAGATCTAAAGTAAATGGAACAATGC